GTCAAAATGGACCTTTCGTTAATCTTTGCATTTCCTCAAAATTAGAACAACCTACATTTGAACAGCAATCAAATCTAGGTCTACCTCTATCTCTCTTAATTCCTGTTTCTGCCTGTAATATGTCTCTGACTAGACTTTCATGCTTGAGAAGATGTCCTACCAACCTATCTCGTCTATTTCTTATTGACTTCTATAGAGTCCTCTGTTTTCCTATTCTTTCCAAAGACCTCTTCATTTGTAATCTTCTCTATCCACGGTATCCTCATCATTCGCCAGTAGCACCACATTTCGAACACTTTTAAACCATTCCTTTCTCGCGGGCATAAAAGTGACTTCTTTTTATTGAAGGCGACTCGATTCTACGCTATCCTCTGCTTTATATCCCTACTATTCCTTCAGTCCTGATATCAAAATCAGCCACTTCTTCTAATCTTTCGTCTCCTATCTTTATATTCGCTCTCTCCCTACTTTTTCTTCCCTTGCATACCAGTATTTTTGTTTTACGTTTTACTTTTATTTATTTTAATGCAATACTGTTTTGTCAATACCGCTTCCATTTTATTTAAACTCCTTATCGTCCTATCTCTAACTCCTCCTTGCTAGATGTTATTACTGCTATATCATCTGCAATCTAAGTATACTAATCTTTTGACCCTGTATATCCCTCCAGCTCTATATGACTGCCTATTACATATAAACTAAGTACCACTCTTCTATCTCAGGAACTCGTCCCTATATTTTTAAGTGTATTTAAGTATATTATATGGCAATTTATTAAATAGTACTTAAGCTTGATCAAGAAGTTCAGTGGTATTTAAGCAAAGCCAAAAATAAATCGTTTAGGATTAATAATCTAAGAAAGTCAAAGAGCAGTTTAGCTAAATCATATAAATAATTAGCAGATGCTTTCGGTAATTCTCAGACTTGAGTGGACTCTCATGTTCGTATTTTTGGAGATAAATCATAAATGGTTTCAGACCAATTAAGAAGTGTTTTGAAGCAATTGCACGGAATAAATTGACGTCACTATTTAATAATTCCAGATGTTATTAGCGTTTCTCGAAAACTTGTGCGAAGTGAAGAAGAAACGAACGGAAGCTGTTAGGAAGAGCATTTATGCAGTGCAGAGAATTTCCTCGGTTTAACTTCTTTGGGTTTAACGAGCGTTTTGCGGCGAGCGCGAGGCGTCAACGTGCCTTGTGTGCCGGTTGGTTGCGACGATTGCGGTTACGACAGCGGTTGGTATATTATGGTACCCGTTACCGACAGAGCAGAGGTTGCAAGAGAATGTTCCTGTCCAAACTTAATATATATCTGAAAATCACTCGTGAGCTGCAAATAGTCTCTTTGTTTCCTAACGTACTAGATGTACGTTTCACGTACATTCGTACATAGAACGATCTCAACTTCTGATTCAATGCCTCTTCCACTAATGACTGTTACTGCACTTCCTGTACGTTTGTGTGTAAGTGTATGTATTGTACATCTATTGTATGAAGCATACAAGGTAAAGATAGAGTATTTCAAGGGAAGACTATTGAGGTGCGAACAGGAAACATAAATCTGATAATCATAAAACAAGTATCAACTTTGAGTTTTTGTGGACTAAGGAAGGAGCATATGAATCAGTTTAGGTGCAAAAATTCAGTATTATGTTGATAAGAATTTACGATAATAAGCTGATCCGGTGGTTTTAACCGGATAGTGTCGAATAAATGCGGTAAATACGTCGGCACGGACTCGTGTGTCGCTGATTTTAGTCTTTGTGAAATTACACCTGAATGGTGGAAAAACAAAAGTGATATTGCCGATTTACTATTCTCTTGATGAAAACAAGATTTTTTTGTGATAAAAAATATACAAAATTCTTTGAAAAGCAGCAATTTCGCGCCAATTTTTTTCATTGGCACTTTTGAATAACTTCAGTAAATCGAATTTTGCAGATGTGCCTCGTTCAATTACTTATTTAATAAAAGTGTCAAGATCACATGATTACTGTCGGTTTTACAAACGGATATTGTTTTTTATCAGTTGTATTTTATGCAAGTGCAGTTGCTGACACCACACTTAAGTGAATTGTTTCTACAATCGATATTCTTTTCTTCGGCGAACGGTAGAAATTCGTATCGTGTTTAACGCTTGAACGCCTATCCGGTCGATCGATATATTTTTAGGTACCTGTCTTTTAGAAAAGACGATGTAAAAGTTATACCTCGATGCATTAATGTAATACTTAAATATAGCGGCGACCGTCGTCGAGATCAGAACCACTCTATGAGAACAGATTAGTAAATACTATTTGCTTCAATAATTCGAAATGGTCTGTATTCTGTCGAAACGACCAGACGCGGATCGCGATTTCGATCTTTTTGGGTCTCATCAGCGCGTCGCAGGCAGCTCCGACAGAACACAGACCAACTTTTACCTGCTGTCTTAACAGTGCGTTTCAGAAAATACTACAAATGGCGCAGTAAACGCCATCTGCATACGTAATCCTAAAATGTAGCATCGTGCTACAGATGGCTTTTACTGCGCCATTTCTAGCATTTTCTGAAATTATTTGCTTCGTTTGAATAGGGTCTAAATCACGAAAAATACAGTAATTGTAGATCGGGATCGACGGTTAACATTTACTGGGCCACTCACTAGGTCACAAGTAAATTCATATAAATACTTTAAGGATAAAAATATGAAGATTAAAAATAGTGTCGATGCGGTGTTGCGCCTAAAAACACTGGGATCTGGTCTCATATAGGTTTTAATACGTCTGTTCATCGTAGAACGTTAACAGTTTAATTAATGGAAACTTTACATGATTAGCTTCGAATGTTTAATCCGAAATCGCAAAATAATAGGGTAAACGATTTAGAGATTTTAAGCACCAGTACATGTCGCAAAATATTTCGATCTGACACTTAATTCCCATAAAAATTCCGGAATTTGCATAGAAAGCGATTTACTAATAAATAATTACAGTCTGGATTAGTATAAACCTAAAATGACTTGTTGAAAATAACCTTCGAATATTGAATTGAATCCTAAGAAAAATTTATAAAATTTTGGACCACGACTAGCTTGGATATGTTTCCGGTTAAGTATTTACAGCGAGACTTTCTTTTTCCCGAAAAAATCTTTCCTTCTTATGGTCAGTTTCGTACCTTTGACAGTTTAAGCGGTAACATAGTTGAGGACGCCCGGAAATCTTCCGTTTAAAGCTCGCATTCCGTAACGGCTGTTTATTTCAAAGTAAAATAGAAAGTTCGCCAGAAAATAATTCTATCTGCTGTTGGAAATGATTTTGTTCTTGCAGTTTCAAATTACATAAATACAAAATAAGAAAACTGAGAATAGCAAAGCGCCAGAAGATATAGGAAAACTATGCTACATTTGATTTCTTCTCGAAATTTGTAAAAAAAGTTTTCACAATGTGTTACAATTAGGTCAAAGACGCTTTTTGTGCTATATTTGATACGAAAAATTAAACGATTTATTTTAGAAGGTTGTGATTTGTTACTCGGCTTTTTTGCTGACCGTTTTAGCGGTTCTGGTTTATGTCTGCATGGTAGATACGTGCAACAGTGGAACAACATAATCTTTTCTAATAAGTCTTCCGAATGGCTAGTCATAATTTTCGTTGGTCGCGGAATTAACCAGCCGCAGACACTATTCGCTGTGACAGATGTACATAATAAAAGGTGTCAGAAGATCGAAATCTTTCTCACCAGTGATAAAATGCTTTTCCTTAGAGGACCATTCCAAGGATGAATCTACCATTATATCCTGCAGTGTATATGCATTCACTATCTACATATCTACACTTGTATAAACTAAAATTTACTTTGCTAAATTTTCCTGAGATTGGATTATATTGTTGTATTATAGTAAGTTTACAGGTTTTGTATTTTCTGTGAATGGGAAAGAAATATTTCTGATGAAAAACTTCTTTGGTCACGGAATTCAAAGCGAAGCATTTTGTAGGTAAGGAAGAAAGTAGAAGGTAATCATCAATAGTACGTTATACTAATAAATTACTAACGATTATAACCTAAGAATTAGATATTTTAGTCACACAGGTAGGTATGTTTAATTAAATATATTCGCGATTAAGGATTTTAAATAAAATTTGGATTATTATTGCATGAAAAGGTGTGCAAGAAGAATATTTTACCATTTTTTAAGGAAGATAATGTCATAATACTTTGATAACAAAGTTTTGCTGTTTTTGAAAGAATCTGCAAATAATACTTACAAGATAAATCTTTCTAATTCATCGTATATACCTAATCTTAATCCTGTTTCAAATTAAATCTAAATACTTTTTAATCTATCATCATAAAAAAATACTTTTTACGTTTTTGCATGTTCAAGTTTTTTATGTACTTATTCTTCTCAAAATCAGCTTAGGGCCTGAGATTTTTACCGTCAATATTTACTTAACGCTTAATAATTTTATGTATCTATCCAAGAAGTGATGGATCAACCATATTCAAAAATTGATTAGTTACTGCAACTCAACGCATATGACATGAGGTATAATAATGGAATTGCTACTGTTTTTTTGAGTAGTAGATAGTGTATCTAAAAAGAGAAGACTGTTTTTCGACTTCCTTCAATTACAAAACGTTAGATTTGAAGACGAAGTAGTTTAAAATATTGTAATTTTTGAGACTAATTTGTGAAGCAAAAAGTTTTTTTGAAAATTGTCCTTAAAATGATCCTTTTCATAAGAGATTTTCAACAGTTTTTATAGTTAATTACTGTAATTCAATGAAATTAACCTTTACTGAAACGTGTGAATACTAACAATTAATGACACCTACTTCAGCAACGCACCATTTTATAGAATGGTTAGTGTCAGTTATGTTTTAGTCAAAATATTTTTTTTAGATTCGGTGAGTTTTACAAGTACCAAAGTTTTAGAGAATAGTTAAAAACTACGTAAAAAAATACCTTTTCAATGTGACAAACCCAGCACGAAAATAAGAAAATTTGAAACTCACCATATACTGCAAACAAATATGTTGTAATCCTTCTTATTGACTTCTTTAAGAATTCTGAAAAACAAAAGAGCAACTACTTTAGTATACATACTAAATTGAATAATTAATAATAAATGTTACATATAATACAGATATGTAAAGAAGATCAGAATTATCTAGAACCTACATTTGGGAATATAATTTTTCTACAACAAATCATTCCCTAGCTGCAGCGATATCGGTAAAATAGTTCTAGTTAAGATGAGGCAATATAAGAAGAAAAGGTGGTTCAGAGGGTGATATCCCCAATATAATTAGAGTTTAATTAATAAAAGTAGTGTTATTTACGCTCATTAAAAAAATTAATTATATTTTTTTTATTATTTCAGAATATAGTGATATTGTTTATAACTGAAAGATATTTAATTTAGAGAGTGAGCAACCATTTTATTTTACACAATTCGAGATGCTCAAGAAAGTTACGAAATTACCTTTTTTGGTCTCCTGAATTCGTAACATAATAAAATTTAGCAAACTCATTTAAATTCTAACCTAGAGTAGCTTTTTTTATTTTCCAAGCAGTATATCTTTTCAGAGGGTTGTGACGCGTAATTTTTGTGTGGCGTGATTTGAATAACAAGCTAAAAACTGCGGATGTTTTTTGTTTATAGAGAATCCTTTTCAGGCAAACAGAAAACAATGTATGAGATACGAAATTTTATTATTGAAAGTGCCACCTAAAACTTTATTAGCCCACAAAAAATGGATAACTTTCTCATTCCACCATGTAGATAGTAAACAATAAATCGAAGATGGATAAATTACAAAAAATAAATAAACTTATGAAAAATTATGATTTCAAATTGTGTATTACAACTTTTCTTAAAAAAAAAAATACAGAACTTCTTACTTCTGATTTTAAAGTTTAAATTTTGAGCTTCAAGCACCATCTATGTTAAACTAAGAGGCTTTAATAGAGCTTTCTATCTTAATTAGAAGCCTAGCTGTGGATATTTTGCAAACTTCGTGCATTTTGAATGACATTTCATCTTGTCTGACAAAAAAAGACTGGAGCAAGATCAAAACCTAAACAGTAATGTGAATACAAGGAGATTTACTTACACTGGACTGGGAGTGAACCGAGAACATATCGTCAATAACACGACTCTAATATAATAGTCTATCTCAGTGGTTTCTAACCCTTTTAATATTGTTACCCCTGTGATCTATTAGGAAAACTGATTTTACCCCGACCTTAAAATGTTATCAATACAAGCAAATAGAAATAGGTGGTGGCAAAGGGTATTGGCATTTTTAAAGCTATGTTAGCTGGAGCAGGATATTTGGCACCAGATTTTCGCCAAAATGTGCTAAATGTATAATTTTAAAATTCCACTCCGCAAGTAGTATCCTAGATATTCCACTTTGACCGCTATGTTTTCATTTTTAATAATGATATCATCCCTAGTAAATCGTCTTAATATCCACGAACTGGACTGACGATTATACATATTCGGAAAATATTGCTTCATTGAGTTTATTGTTGCAGATAAATGTCAAAACACAGAATTTTCAAATGTGATCTTGTTTGGTTCAATATTTACCAATTGTGCATACAGTTGTATAAACATTATTAATTTTATATTTTTACTATCTAGCTATATTTACCCCTACAGAATAATTGATTAACCCCCGCGGAGGTAATAACCCCCAGGTTCTGAATGACTGGTCTATCTGATACAGATATATGTCGTCAAGGATTTTTTATAGACATGTTAAGCTCCACAACTTTTCATTCAAACATTTATATATCTCTCAATATTAACCAAACCGTTAAGGGCATTCGCTCAAACGTTTTTCGTTGACTTACGTTGCAAAATTGGTCTTTACGAAAAGCTCTTTTATTTTAATTAATACATTTTGCACCAACTGTATTGACTTGAGGTTTTCATATTGCTAGTACGACATTAATATGAAACATACTACTAAAAATATAGGAATTTGTTGAGTGAAACCTTTAGTTGTTTGTTTAAACTTTAAATTATGAAAAAAGAGTTGTTAATTTATGAACCATTCGTATCAACTAAAGTGGACTCTTCACCAAAACCAGGAGTACCTACAACGTATTTCTTTAAAATTGTATTAAGTACGAAACCTACCTGGGTTTGATCAGATATGAAGATGCATTTAAAGCAGTGTAATTTTTATCAAAAGAACAGCAATTGGTTCTTTTATGTCCCGGTCGATCCTTGCAGCTCTAGTTCGTCTAAAATCCGGGCTGTAAAAGCCGAACTGGAGTTACGAAGGCGGTGACCGTATAGATGGCAACCAGCGACCGATTCGGCACAGGCGACGCGCCGTTAGCGTCAAGCTAAAGCAGAAGCTTTCGGTCTCGAGGTAATAAACTTCATGGGTTCGAGTTTCAGGGATCAACTCGGGACTGACATCGAAGAACGAGTGGTGGAGGAGCCACAGTCTTTGTTATCCGAGTTAATGCCATCTGACAAAGGCATAATCCTGTGATCTTAACTGCGACAGTACGGGGCGTAAAATGACGTCGCTCGACCCTGATGTCGAAGCGTTCGTTTCGTGGTTTAACGTGGTGCGCCACGGTCTTTCGCATACAATCGTAACATATCGCGACAATGTCGATGACAACTAACGGCCACGGCTACTTTACCACCTACTACGATCGACTATTAATCGTGCACTTTATATATGACTGCTCTCATAGATCGACTTCTCATTGTAACCAGAAGGATTAAGGGATTCTTGATTGCTTCCATCAAAGCGCTCGTGCTGGCAGTAGCAATTTATAAAAAAGGGAGGCGAGATGTCCGAGCAGTGAAAGCTTATTTATGACAAAATTGACATTTGGTTTTAAAATTACAAATTAAAATGTAGCTCTTGTGCGTGATTTGAATTTTTTGTTCGAATCCGAAAAGCCAGGATGTAACAGTATGCAGTTATAGGGGTAGCATCGAAAGCTACTGAACCGACTCTAAAAATTGTTTCATTTCTTTTAGAAGGATGTATTGGTCCAAAAAAAAGAATGTTTAACCGAAGCTAAGAACAATCGGTGGTTTTCAAAAAGAAGTTATTGTTAATATTTTCTAATTTATTATATTTTGAAGCGGTATTAACAGAACAGTATTGTATAGTATTTCGTGGCTAGTAGGTGAACTAATGTTACCCTGATTCGGGTTTAAAGGCCATCGTCGATTGGAGTTGTTTCTTAAGGTTTCGCTAGCATGAATGGTGAGATTCTTCAGAGGTTCTTCCATCTCGAATGCTGGATATGGACTCTGAAATATGCCGGTCAGTACCGTTTGGGGGTTTCCGAATATTGGTCTCCAAATCCCTTTTAGTCTGACGGTTTCTTCCTTCTTGTTGAAGTTATCCGAACAATTTGGGATCTCAATCACCTTTCTAACCATCCTGTTGTGATAGTCATTGACCGAAGCTAGCAATTTGCAGTTCTCAAAGAGTATCTTGTGTTGTGTTTGTTATCGCGTGTTCAGGCACAGCCTAATCTTAGGAGTGTCAGCTTCCTTTGTGCTCCTTGAGTCTTGTTCCCATCAATCTCTTAATGGTTCTTATGTAAATCTTTCCGCAGAAACAAGACATGCGGAAGATTCCTGCAGCTGAAAGAGGGTCCTTTTTATCCCTTAACTGATATGATGGTCTGTTGGATCTTCTTCATAGGGTTGAAGATGGTTCCGCTGTCGTGTTTCTTCAGGACTCTGACAATTCGGTCTGTGACCTTTATTATTTTTAATACCGTTTGTAATATCTATCGAAATTGTGCAAACCTATCTTCCCGTTTTGATAAACACCGACTAGAGTGTATTTATTACTAACCAATTTTTTCAATTAAATTAGTTAAGCCATTTAGTCATTATCATCATTTCATTATATCCATATACGGATTTTAAATTTGAGATGTAATTTACATTTATAAGGATTTTGTTGTAAATATACTTAGCGTTCAAACTATTTACCTGAATACAAACAAAAAGCGTCGGTCTTAGGTTTTATGGCGCTCTGAGGCAATTTTTTGGTAATGCCAAACTTGTCGAAGTTTGAAGAAAATATCAATTTATTTATTAAACTAAATGTGCCCGACGAAGCTACCGTCATCGATAGCACACAATGTTTAATACTTTTCAATTTTGTGTTCTCTGTTTTAAACGTTAANATAAAAATAAAAGCAAAGCGTGTTTATCTGCGGCTCATTTATTTCACTTCCACGTAATAAATTGCGACAGGCGCGATACCCCTGAGCTCTTACTCTAACAAATAAGCTATCAGAAACGGGGCTGCTGTTGCTACAGAAGAGGCCTCAAGCCGTAATAATTCATAGCGTGGGGTTGACTAATAAAAAAAAAACTTGCGCACCCTACCGGCACCAGACACCAAGCTGTTGAGCTTTTGTAGAAAATTATACGTAATATTACTCTCCTGCAAGACATGTGTGAAAATTGACGGTACCTTTATCGTTATAGCAAACGAAAAACTCTCAAGAAATAAAATGTTCGGGGAACCTGACGGAAAATGGAAAATAACAAAAAATTGTCACTCAGTACTCAGTGTAATACAATATTTTAGAAAGTAAGGGTGTTTGATCCTATCGCACGTTATTCCTTGGGATACCAAACAGAAAAAAGTTCATTTTGTAATCGATAACCGATGAGGTTTGACTTTGAGTATAATTCGAAGAAATCTATAACGATACTCTAACGACTTGGTTGTACTTTGGACACTACAACAAGATTATGATGACGGACTGACGATAATAGAAGTTCCTTATCATCATCTCTATCCTTTTCAATTGCAGGTATGAATGCCCTTTTGGTCCATATACATAAGTGTAGTATCAGTATGCCTTGTTTTATGTATGAATCAATCACTAGAAGTAATTTAGGGTGGTGAATCAGGTGACCACCGTCACTCACCCTAATACTTACTAGCTCTCTGTGTTCGTGGGTTTAACAAAATTAACTTCTAAGACTGATAACGACAAAACTATTTATTTACACTAATTATTAAAGAAACTTAAAACACTATTAAATTATTACTAAACTTAGGGTATGAATTATTCTATTTATTTACACTACTGTTGATATATCACTATTCACTGCGCTATTNAGGTTTTATGGCGCTCTGAGGCAATTTTTTGGTAATGCCAAACTTGTCGAAGTTTGAAGAAAATATCAATTTATTTATTAAACTAAATGTGCCCGACGAAGCTACCGTCATCGATAGCACACAATGTTTAATACTTTTCAATTTTGTGTTCTCTGTTTTAAACGTTAAACATTTAAAATTTAATGGAAGACATGTATAGGTAACCAACTATGCACCTGAATGTAGACATTTAAACCCGCCCACTTCTTTGCAATTGTTAAGTTCCAACTACGATACGTTATAACAGGTAATTTTGAATTAAATATTTTGATTAAGTGAATTAAAACATCCTGCTTTATTTCTCCTCACTGTGAATAGCAATTTGCGAAATTTCTTTTTGTAATTTCATTACCAAGCAAGCAGTTCGATAGACGTTCCATTTTTCCCTCATAAATTTTGTGTTTTGCTGGATCATCATCGATTTGCCACTTAAGACCATTCGAAATTTCTATCACGTACAGGAAGGATATTGGTAGCGAGCATTCACAAATTGCGCGTTCCTCTGGGCCACCTCCGCCACCAACAGAACCGTCCCGGTGCCGTCGCCTTCATTTCGCCCCATTTCTGTCTCGAACCTTCAATAACTCCTCCAGAAAAATACACCCGGAGGACGTAAGCGAGGAATCGGAGAGAACAGAGTGCGACCGGTGTAAGTGTGTAAGTATGTAAGCAGCAGTCTTATGCATTCGGCGTCGCATCATACAAGTTGCAACAGCAGTGGCAATAATGGAACGGAGAGAGAGAGGTAGCGACGTAGCCGGCGCGGCACGGAACGTCGCGTCGCGACGCTAGATATCGACAAAGAATGTAAGTAGAATACATTAGCGACGCTCGAAGTGGCTCCTCTTGTTCTCGCTACCATCTGTTCGCTTTCTCAATCATCAGACAAATGAACTGCACCCTCCGAATGTATTTACACGGAGCGAAACATAAATGTACATAACCTATGCACATAGATAGATACATACATTTCTAATCAAGAGGCTATTCATCTATTCATCTGCGAAATTAAACATCCGAACCTTTTCATTAACATGCGATTAATTACTGTTTGTGATATATATTACTGAGTATACGAGATCAACTATCATCATAATAATGTAATGTTCGTGGGTTTAACAAAATTAACTTCTAAGACTGATAACGACAAAACTATTTATTTACACTAATTATTAAAGAACTTAAAAACACTATTAAATTATTACTAAACTTAGGTGATGAATTATTCTACTTATTTACACTACTGTTGATATATCACTATTCACTGCCCTATTTATTTCACTGCTATCACTGTCAATTTATTTCTCGATTTACTTCTGCAACGGTCAATTTATTTCTTCTCCTTTCGGCGATCGTCTTTTCCTTTAAATAGTCTTTTGTTTACTTTCTGGAACCTTCTGGAAACATCCGGATAGTTTAATTTTTCTTTGAACTGTTTAATTGCACTCCCAGAACGCAGGTACGACACACACTCGTCAGTCCCACGACTAGTTGGACAGGCACTTTCACCCTATCCTATCCTGAGAAATCTTCGCATTTCCTAGAACTAGGATATCCCACTTGTTTAACTATTTGTGAATAGTAATCTAATTTAGGTCGAACTACTTTTATCTCCTGTTTGTGCTTCTAATATTTTTCTAACAAGCCCTTTATGCCCAAGAAGGTGTCCTACTTACCTATCTCGCCCATTTCTTATTAATATTCGCAGCGCCTTTTTTTTTCCTACTCTTTGTAACATCTCCTCATTTTAGCCTTCTATATTATCGGTATCCTTATCTGCCTGTAACACTACATTTCGTAGTCGTAGGCGGGCGATATGTTGGAATAATGTCTTCGAAAAGTATGCTTCATTATGATCTCCGCGCTCAACATATATATATATATATATATGAAAATGATCAGCATTATTATCTCTATAACACTAAAAATTAAAGGTCACCGTATTTGCTGAAACAAAGATAACCTCGTCATATTATTCAAACATTTTACTTTCTAACATATCAGCCAGCCTCGGGCGGTCAGGGGCATTGAAGAAACTCCAGTCTGTCATAAATCTCCCTAACTAAACAATGACAAAATACTAAGATACCAAATAAAAGGTATTTAAATACAAGATACAAAAAGAATTTTAAAAAAGTTTCATAGATGCAAGATGAAAATATGTATTTTGTATCTTGTATCTCTATTTCAGACATTTGTATCTTAGATAAGATACATCTCTGATTTCCGGTAACATATATATTAATTTCCATCTTTCGTTACATTTTCCCCGTGCCACCTATTGCGTAATAACTTGGGGATATTACTCTACTTTCCGCACTGTTGCTGGTCAGTTTTGGTGTCAAGTTCTGCTTTATTGGTATTTGGTACAGTACTGATGCTGTTGCACCGCTTTAGTGATGCTCACGTAATTGGGATTTTGTGACAAACGCCTGCGGGTTAGTTTGTATTCTGTTTATTCTTTCATTTTGCGCGTAGTGTGGCTGTCGCCTCGCAGGATCGTGCGATTGAAGGCTTGTTTTCGCAATCAGTTCTGCGAACAACACAGCTGCGGCCGACTAAATGCATTGATATGTAATGTGATTCAGAGGCATCGTAGTCGGGGCATTGTCGATATCGACATCTCCATCGGATGGGCGCAGGCGATGCCATTCCAATAGTTCGTCGCTCGGTTCGCTCGAGACCAATTTATGGACTATCGAATATCCCCCTTGTGAGCGGTGCCATGATAAATCGAGTTCGAATTTAATTTGCTGCGCGTTTTCCAATACAGTTACCGTTTTCTTTTAACACACATATGCGTCCTACTGTCAATTAATTGCTAAACTATTCAATTAAGTCCAATATAAGTAATCATTTGTTTCTTGTATCGCGCTGAAGCCTTTTTAAATTACTATTATTCATTCATTACTAGATACTAGTCAAGTATAAATTTGTGATAAACATAAAACGGTAAGGATGTTAGTCAAGGATTGTCTGTCCCTTCGTATCCTAGATAACTGTTTATTAAGCATCGTGAGACAAGACAAGACAAGACTGATACAGTTTTGGTCTAGCACATTTAGACTTGGTCTTGGTTTTGCTTTTCGACAGTAGGTAATGGTCTTGTTCTTGTGAGATCAGTTCTTGTTTTTGTAAGACTTTTATCGTAAAATTTAAAAAAATAACTTTTGCGGAGAGCGTAGCCTTCTAGTTGCAAATTCAAATTCTGATTTCTTTGGTCATTGTTATTTTGCAAAGATAAAGAAAAGACAAGACAAACTTGTATTTTTGCTTATTACTATAATAAAGCTAATGACAAAGAGAAGTAAAAATAAGTAAAATATGCGATACGCAACAATCATCATCATAAGGTCATCAGTCCTAAGACTGGTTGGACACGTACCTCCACTCTTTCCTATCCTGAGCTAAACTTCGCATTTCCCTAAAACTANTTTATTTACACTACTGTTGATGTATCACTATTCACTGCGATATTTATTTCACTGCTATCACTGTCAATTTATTTCTCGATTCACTTCTGCAACGGTCAATTTATTTCTGCTTCTTCTCGGCGATAGTCTCTTCCTTTAAATACTCATTTGTTTACTTTCGGGAACCTTCTCGAAACGTCCGGATAGTTTATTTTTTCTTTGAACTGTTTAACTGCTTTCCCAGAACGCAGGTACGACACACACATTTACAAATATGCGCACATGAAGAAAGGCGTCCGCGGGTAGTCGGCGAATCGATAAGCACACGTGTGCCCGATCGCACACAAACACACCTCTGCTCTCTATAATAAGATCAAGATAAAATTGCATCTAAAATATCAATTCCAATCACACTGATTAAGTAAAATCTAACGAAAGTAGAAATAGGGTATATAAAAATTTCTTTAGTTTCTGATAAAAAAAAAAAACATAAATTCCCCATTAATGTTTAATCTACAAAATTAATAGCCTTGAGTCGATTAAAGATCTTTACCAGACCCGAATCGGTTCATTATAGGGAGTTCGCTCCTATGGCAATGTGTCTCAATATCCTTATTTATGTTCATTAATTTAACTCTTTAATGTTCCACCATATCGCTTACAAAACTAGTTACCTAACGGTGTCTTAATATGCACATATTTCTTTAATATCGTGATCTAACCATTGATAACAACCATAACCTGAAATATTCCTAATGATTTATGAAAGTATTAACTAAACCGTAAAAGTAGATAGCAAAGAATTATTCTGAAAACTTACTTTCCACCCTGCTGGCGTTTTCTCCAATAACATATAGTACTAAATTGAAGCGATACGAAACAATTTCGAGATCATACACCCTACTTCTCAGTTGAAATGTACACGAATTCATCCTACCCACTTGATTAATATTTAAAATTTAATCCTGCTCTTCAACTTTACACGAAACTTCATGTTTAAGAAACAGGATCATATTTTACATTATTATTTTCCGTTATTTGATATCTGACACCTTACCGTATAATAGAACTGCGAGGAAGAATAAATAGATCTGTAACTGTAAAACTTTTTATATTTTCTTTACCAAACGTAACTTTCTAACTTAGCTTGGTACAAAAATTGGCTTTTCTATTTGTACAAACTGATCTACATCCATTTTTCTTGGTTAGCTTTTTGTTCTAATTTTGAAAATGTTTTTCTTCTTTAGATATTATTTGTTGAAGTGAAACTGATTATAAAGTAACAGTATATCCGTTTTAAGTTTTAGAAGGCAAACATTGTAATACCCAAAATAAGACAAACAATCATTCCGTTTATACTTTTCTTATAGGCAGTTTCTCGGCTATAACAGGATGAAGAACCTTTTCGACTTTCTTCAAGATCAACAAAACAAAAGAAAACCCAAAACAAATTGTAAAATATTGAACAGTGAATGAAGTTAATCTCGTAATTAATCTTTCTCCTTATAGTAAGTTGTATTCTATCCTCATCCTATCTCACTTGCTTTCTAGTCATACTCTCTCAATATAAGCTAATTTTGAAGAGCATCTATGTACTTCAAAAAAACTCGGATGGAAACTGGGCTAGCAAAGTAAAACAATTGGAATTTCATTTGTTTTAATTACATCACATGAAACTTGAAACGCGATTGGAATTAAGGCAGCACGTGAAAACTTTCTGTAAACAACCATCTAATTCGACGATAATGAATCGCTTAACTTGGCAATTGAAACAGAACTTCAATCGATTTAACAAACGAATCTACGATAAGATGTTAAGAAACTTAACATTTTTAAACAGAAAAACGTTAGTACATGCGTATGCTTCGTAGGTTCTATCACTACAGTTAAGATGTTTGTCTATTTGTCACAGTACTGATTATGTTGGAAATAATTGATAGTATATCGAATCAAAATTTGGCATAGTTATAGAGACCGGTTGTCGTTATCTATTTCCGATGAAAATTTTAGTGAAAATTTTTTTTAGTTTCATGGCAAAATGAGTTCAAAATGACGAGGATGAAATGTAAAGGGGAAATAGTATGGTCGAACAGTGACCATATGAAATTTCTGGACCAAAAATCTAAGTTGTTGATTGATCTTCTAAGAT